GGCGCAGCCGGAACAGGTGGCAGTGGATTTGCCACGCTGCTGGCTCGGCAAGAGGTCATGGTGCCAGCTCTGTGCCGCAGGGCGTGTGGCCCCGTGCCTGGTGGTCAGAGAGCGGTGCCATCGGCCCACGGGCACAGGGGGCTCTCCTGGTACCGCGAAAGGGCTGCGTGTCCCACAAGGAGCTCGCCCTGCCAATATTGGGATGCTCTGCGTACCCTCTGCCCGGAACAGGGGAAAGAGAAGGGCAGGAAAGAGCGAAACGTGTCCCCATCCATGTGTCCCCCCAGCTTTTAGCCCGGGTCGGGCTCAGTGAAGGATAATCCCAGCAGAGTGGCTGGCAGTAGGATGGCCGAATTCCCAAGCTCCCCCCTAGCGATGCATCAGCTTTATTCTTGCAGACTGGCGTCTCCTCCTTCCCACCACCACTGCCAGTCCCGGCCTGCACACGCGGAGCTATCGGGGCAGCCCGGTCACCCCCTCGGCAGGCTGTCCCTGAAACACCCGGCCTGGGGAAGGGGGGGAAGCGGATTAGCACAAGGCAGCCACTGGAAGTAATTGATGCACTCGCTAGTGATGCGGGAGCCCTTGTTCCCTCCGCGGCGGGAGTGCTCCCCGGAGCATCAGGATAATGCTCGGGGCTTGCTTTGATCCGGAGGCTCGGCAGGGAAGGGGCTACACTCTCCTGGGAAGACCTCGCTGCTCCCTCCGCTTCGGGATGGGGGGCTGTGGCGATCGATCCGGGATGCCAGTGCCTGAAAACACCCATCCCCAGGCAGTGATGGGATTTAGAGGATTCCATGTGTTCCCCCCCCGTGTCCTCTGCGCCTTCCTCTACACGTTTGCATTCTTTTTCTATCTACCTCAGTGCTTCCCATGCAAAAATTATCTCAGAAGTCCCCCAGGGAGCTGGCCTGGGCTGTTTTACCCCATGGAGCCGGATCTGTGCTGCCGGTGGCTTGTTGGCAGTCGCATCTGCAACCCCTTCCCTCACCGCATCCCCCGACAGTGGGGGGCTCCTCGCCCTCTCCCCAGCAGATGTGCTGGAATCCGGCGGGTTCCCAGCAGCACCAGCCATGGCCCTTCCCCAGGGAGAGCAGGGGGAGGTGATTCGAGGTAGGTGATGGCTTTTGGAGTGGGCAAGTGGGCAGTGTCCCCCTGCCACCCCTGCCCGGGCACCTGCTCCCCGTGGGGTGCAACATCTGAGCGCACCTGGGGTGCAGGGGGGAGGCAGCCACTGTGGTGGAGGGGATTAGCACTTGTCTGACCATCCCGAGTCCTGCTCCTCCGGGGCTGGGGCTTGTCCCTCGCACCGCTGTGCTCAGCTCGCAGCCCCTCGGGGAGGGCTCTCCGCTCCTGCTTCTCCTCCTGCTTCTTGGCGGTAGAGACACGAGCCCCGGCCCCACTCTCCGAACACGTTCCCCATGATGGAGGGGCCGCGTGGATAGG